TACCAGTTTGCTGGATAATGTATGGATATTATGGGGAGAAGTTTCATGTTAATCACTTGAAGGGTTAAGGGAGCCTAGCCTAGCCATTCCCATATTTCACAGGTCTCATGGCAAAAGCAGCCAAATAGTACCCCGTGTTACTTCGATGCTCATTATAAACCGAGAAACGCGTTACCTTTTAGCCAAGAATGCAACGTGTAATTACGCAGAGTGTAACATCTACAACCATTTTAGAAACTTAAAATTTCCGGGCAACAACTTTAGAAGGAAACAAACACTTTCTTCGTGCAAGACTTATAGTTTGGGTTCGAGCCTCAGCCTAAGTCATTTCCCCGGGCTCCTCGACAAGATACTAAACTCTCGCAGGGTAGCATAAACCTGTCACGATCACTAAACGAAATTCTGGTTTTAGTTAACCACAAGTATAAAATGTTTCCACATGTGCAGGAATTGAGACGATGTTAAAAAGTGTCTTAAGAGGCGGCCCAACACAGATGTAGTTAATTCAGGCTAAAAAAACCACAAAAACCTGTAGGCTACGATATTTAACCCTTTACACCCTAACATCAGTATGCATATTCTCCATACTGTTCTCTCTACATTTCTTAAGGTGCTAACAAGGAGAATTTGTTTAAAAATCAAGAGCTTTATTCGATGATTATTTCTTTTATTCTCATGACCTTAATGTGCCATTGTGGAGTGATTTTCTATGGTAAAATTAGATACTAGTCACTCTCAGGGGTTAAAGGGTTGAAACCGTGAAGGTGTATAACAGCTTTGGTAAAGCACCAAAAAAAAACTAAATCAACAGAATATTCGAAATCAAATATCCCCCTATGTTTTAAAAAGTCTTAAGGTTTGATTTTCTTTACTTTACTTCCTTTTGCAGATTGCTGTTGAGCGGGAAATTGGCGCGCGGTCGGCCATACATCATCTATCTGCGCATGCCTCACACTTGACCAACCGCTGTGTTGAGTTTTCTATAATTATCTCACCCCCTATCTAGGAAGATGTAACCCGTTAGGTCAGCACAGCGTGTTAAGCGGTATTTACCTCTTTAGGGCTGAACATTTGCCAACTTTGTACTATACGGTTTTTGTAGTTTCCTCGGTAGGATGAAGTGGTATCTAGGACAGCGGTAACATTTTCTGAAAATGTGTCGGATGAATTCCAGAAATCCCCAGCAGAAAATGAAGAATTTATTCCACCAATAACTTTGAATATCATCATCCAACCTTGATTAAAGAACCAAAAAAAGTGGTTTTTAGAAATTGTAAGCTTCTTGCAATCCAAATTTTCCAATTTTGAATTATCTCCATGAAACCGCGATTTGAACGCGTTTTTAGTTTATTTTCTAACCGCTTTTGCCTCATGTTAATTTGTTCCAGCTTACCCTTTAATGGTCTTAAAATTTATGTTAAAGTAAAAACATGAAAGTTTTGCATTTAGAAACAGTTTCAGACTGAAACAGTCCTAAATACTAAAAACTGCCTACTTCATAACCTTCTCTTGTTTTTTCCGCCTCAATAACTGGATATTACATTGTGACTGTTTTCTTTTGACACTAAAGTTTGCTGCCAAGTGACGCAAAAGACAGAAAGAACAGGATGAAGTCTATGTCGGGCAATTTTGAATAGGAATAGGAAAAAACCGGGCGCACAGCAAACAAAGCGATTTATTGAGTTGAACCATTTGGTGCTTAAAAACCTTCTTGCTGTAAACTTCAGATTTTTGGTGGCGAGACTGTCTCCAATGCGCTGATTTATCTTGTAATGACTGTTTAGGTATCAACATTGACTATTAGTGAGACAGTGGGAAAGGGACGGAAAATCATCCACCTAGGAACTACAATATCTTAAATCCGAAGGTTTTCGTGACAAAGTCGCCTCACTACCTCAAAACAACGACTTCTACAAAAACCACTGAAGTATCTAATTCATGGTCAGTGTGATACATACCTCCACCGTCCGTTGTCTGGTCGCAGTAGACAGGGAAAGGCCCTGATC